CTCTGACCTCGTTTGATCCTCGCGAGGAACTGCTCTATTCGTCGAGATGACCTAGCGATGTGTTGCAATCAGGCTGACCTCGTCGCGCTCAGCGAGGCACGACGATCTCACTCTTAGAGGGAAACTAGTGAGGGCATGTGGAACAGCCGACGAAGATGGAAACTAGTGAGGGCATGTGGAGCAGCCGACGAAGATGGAAACTAGCGAGGGCATGTGGAGCAGCCGACGAAGCTGTCTGCAGTTCATCAAGCTGTCTACGACAGTAATAAGGATAATTTTGTGGATTTATTTGTTGCGGATTAGTTTTTGTTCTCAAAATCCGAGGACAGCCTCTTGCGGAGTCTTCTGATATTTATCTTTGCTCGTCAAGAGTTTGATGGGAATCTGCTTTCCTATGGGCAATGTTCACTTGTGCATCTCATCAAATGTTCTGCAATTCTATGTATGCATGAACTATTCCAGTTGTTTATAACTTAAATTCTAAGTAAGAGACCTACGATTTTATCATTTGATTGCTTAATGTTGTCATTTGATTGAGATTAAACGCAATTATTTGATTGCGTTTCGTCATTGCATTGCTATTTCTATGAAACCAAGTTATGGTTATTTTTCTGTGATGTTCCGATCTTTATCATCCGCGTTAGAAGCTTGTCTTGTTGACCAATGATTTCCAAACTATTACTCTAATATGGTAATTTGTAAATTTCTGGTTAGGAGTAACAAGTGTTTTGATGTTTTGATTTAGCGGTATCTAAATATTGAAAGTTAGGAAGAAGACAATATGCTTATTGTGGCATTTTGAATTGAGTAACGATGTGAATAATTTCCTGAGACGCTGTATGCTTGAGTTCCTCATTGCTGGAAGATTAACTGCTGACTGGTCTCGGGTAGCTCCTTCTCGGGCACGTTCCTTCGGTCATGTGCATGGTGTATTTGAACCATTAATTCGTAGACGGCTGCTAATTTATTAAATATTCTTTTAATCTCACGTTTTGAATATTCGAAACTTCGAACATTTTTTTCGAATATTCTGATTATTTACCATAGTACGTTCCATTTTGTGAAACATTATACTGACTCGTGCTGGGTTAAAAAAAAAAAAATAGATCGGCTAAGGCAAAGAAAACCTTAAGGGTCGCTGAATTCAGTTCTGTGCAACTCAACTTTGTCGTGGCATCATTGCACAAGTAGCCGCCGTCATGTCATATCTCGTAAATCAATTATTCCTGTTATGTACACGCTTTCTATGCAGCAGTCTATGTGCTCATGCATTGTACTGGCTTGCTCTTTTTTTGCTCTATTATATGTAATTATTAAAGTCATTTACTCGTATTAAGCATATTGTGATTGTTTTCCACCAATGCGTAGGCTCTTTAAATTTTTTTTTTCGCGATAAATGTAGTTGGTGTTATGTCCGCGTGCTTGTTCAGTTAAAACTAATAATGTATATTATTATTACTCAGTCTTCGTTATATCTTATTGAATACGTACCATCTTTTATTTTGGGTTCTTCAGTTCTTAAATGATATATATTGACGTGCTGTAACGCAGGTTTGGTTGAAGACATCCAAATTTTTAAATTTATTTGATTCAAATTTTAAATACCAGCCCGAAGTAAGGACAAAGATTGTTCTATCTTGTGTTGAGTTATCCTGTTTTTTCGGCATAATTTTTGAACCTCAAAAATTACCTTTCCATCACCTTTTGTACTGTTTAAAAATCAGACATGTGGTTACATTGTCCAGGAAGCTTGAGCGATTTTCTTGCACTGAGCTATTCACGAACCACCCACTGCTCCGCGAGGTACGCCGTTCTGACGACCATCTGTGCATCTCGGAAGTGCACCGCAGATTTTTTTGTCGATATTCTGTAAAAACTTGATCATGTAGCGCTGTGATCTCTCCGTGAGGCCCTGCATTATTCTTCCTAAATTATTATATTTTATTCACAAAGAAACCTTCACCATTCGTCCATAGATTTTATTGGTGAATAGTTAACACTACGTACGTATAAACCGGTGTTTTTAAGGTTGGATCTGCAACAACGGTAGTTTTATTTCTTGAACTTACACACACTGAGAAGGCTCAGGTTGGTCATTAATTTAACTAGCTGGTGATAGTTTTTCTTATCCTTTGATATGTAAAAAGAATATTTGAATCATTTTTTTCACAGGAATTTGACCTTGCTATAGAGTTATCTGTCTAAAATAAACGAACGTTGCAACTGTAAATTTTAATCACATCTGTATTTAATCATTACAGCTATTTTTTATAGTTATAATTTTTACAGAGAAAATGAACATGAAAAACATTTTGAATGTACTGCTCGCATCCAAGTATGCTAAATCACCACCACCACCACCACCACCGCCTACTCTCATCCTATCATCTGTTGGTGCTATGCAACGAATATTTTATTGGGGACTGGACATGTTATAGGTATACGTTCGTCGCCATTTCGAGATATTCTACAATATGAAGTCATTGATGAAAGGCCACGTCTAAAATGTTCATTTTTTTCACCATTTCTTGTGTTCTTCTAAAAAGTTGAGTCGTTTACAGAAAAGATATAATTTTTTGTTCGATTTTTTTTTCGCGCTACGCATGCACGAGAAATCATAATACATAAGTATCGGCTTTTGAAGGCGTAAATTGAACTATTTGATGCTTTTTACTTCGAAATTCATAATTTCTTTGACATAAATTCGAGCTCTTATTTTCTTGTGCTGTTTTAATTCTTAGCTTCAATGTAATTTGTAATTACCATCGAATATCAAATTCTATCATTTTTGTCGCGACTGTCAACCGAACACTCCAAACCTCACGTTTTGATTCGAACTAATCACTGTATCGATGCGTGGGAAATTTTCCTGATAAATGGACACACCTGCTGCAAACGCCACGTCGCCAGTGCATTTACTCGGAAGAAAGTGCCGGTGTTGTGTAGTGCTTGTGCTCACTGTGATTCCAGACAGCAGTAACAGGCGGCCCCGGTATGCACTTCTCTCCTATTGCTATCGTACTTCTGCTGATGACCAACTTTCTAACGGTCTGCCCAGTACCTTTCTCTTCCGACTCTGGTTTAGCCTCCACTGCCAAATTATTTAGTTTTTCAACGAGCTTGTCCACTTCGTTGTTAACTTTTAATACATAGTCAATTTGCTCAAAAAGAGCATTCATTTCTTTGGATTTTCAGCGAAAATGAGGTACTCTTTGGCTTAATTCGCGTGTTAAAATCAAAATCGCTAATCTACATTTTTGCAAAAAATCATGATCTGCTTTTTCATGTGATATCCAGCACTGACTGAAGTAACTAGATTCAGTGGGAAAGGCGTAATAATGATTCAATCGTTAGAGATAAATTTCTGAACAGATATTACTATGAACAAACCTTGCGTGAGGCTCTGTTATTTTTCATTTCCATTTCCTGTCATTGACCTTCAACATATTAAAGCTTTACATAAGTAACGCATTCGAACTGAACACTTTTAATTTGTATCAACGTTATCCCATATGAATGGCATTCTCTGTTTGTACTGTAATGTTCTATAAGTATTCACTTTCGAGGAAGAGTTAGCAGCTGTGATTTCATCGCTGTCTGGTCTTCTCTGTGTCAGCCGCCATTAACTTTGCTTGCTTGATTAGCATAAGCTGAAGCTCCTCTTTGTGATACTTTCACACTTCCGTGCTGATTCGTGATCCATGAACAGCGTTATTCATGATGATTCTTCCTCAACTTTCGTCAATTGCACAAAATTAAAAGTCACAAACATTTTGTTCGTCCTTCCTTTCGTCAACTGAAATTTTGTTAGTGTTGAAAGTTTACAACTGCTGCTATGCTGTTTCGTTTTTAGGTAGTCTTTTTAAAATATTTATTCAAGTCTGTGAATCGTTTGAACTGTTCGAAACGCCTCTCTAACCCTCACGAAGTTTTTGGGTGTTGTGTTAGTCCGCTGACCACCAGAACCTCTTGCATTCACACTTCCACTTGCCCTAAATGTGTTCACCCACGTAAGTCGATTTCCGACCAGGAACCCGACAGAAAGGAAGAATACGGAACAGAGTATACGGAATGAGTAGCGATGATGAAACGACCATTAATTAGAAAAGTACGCCTCGACAGCGAACGCACGCCGCTCACTTGTCTAATGCATAATGGCAACTGACTAGGCGGGACACAAAACTTCAAGATCTTGCATTTCATATGAAATACTTTCCGCTCTTTTCCTACAACATTTGGCTGCTTGGCACAAAATACAAAACAAATTTTCCGTGAATTACCCTGTACTAAATTTGTTCCTGCATGTTCGCCTTATCCGATGTCGTGTTTCTGATTGAACATTCGGTTTAGCGTAGCTAGACGCAGAGTCTGTTATGTCCGGATGTTTCGGCATCAATAAGCTCTCTGTGCTGCTGCGCTCGTTCACTCAGTGGCTTCTTCATTGTTGTTGAAAGCCCTTGAGTGCTTTCATTGCTCGACTCTTGAAGCCGAGTCTCATTACGACACAGCTTCATTGTGCTTTAGCTACGCTGCTTTGAATGGTTATCTTTCTCTGAAAAACGTGCATCTTCATGGTTCTACACTTCATTTGGTTGTGAAGAAAAATTTATTTTCCTCACAAAATTCAAACATTTTTATTACAAAAGTAACTATAAAATGGCGAAATAGTGTATGAAATTAGTATATACCTAATCTCCAAGTAATTTTCTAGAAATAAAAAAAATTCTATTTTGTGCTAGTCAAGCCAGATTGTGTAAGCTGTGGCATATTCAATCTATAATCTAAAGCGGTTTGTTATGCTTATTCTACAAATTCACTTCTTCCTTTTCTGCTGTATTTTGCGTTAATATTTATACCCATGACGTGTTCTTTACTTCAACGTCCAGCCTAAATACAATGCTCTTCAATTTGAGTTTTAAGTATCGTGTGTATTTTCTTTTTCCTTGTCTCACGCTATACAATTTAACATCTTGACATTGATGTGTGAATATTCCCTTCAGGAGCTGGTTCGCGATCGCGATCAGATCAGCGACGAAGATCCTAATGGCGTTACAAAGAAGAAGAAGAATTCAGTCCCTCAACCGACCTCGTCTGGTGGTGGCAATGACGTCGCCTCTGCCGCTCCTGCGCCGGCTTCTTGCACCACCGGTGCGTTCTGTTGCGCAATGATGATGCTATTTCAAACCTTGCTCATATTTATGCAGTATTTCGCAATACTACGTAGAATGAGTCACTCTTCTAGCCTTATACATATTTATTCGATATGGCGCCATACTGCGTGGAATTTTACTCGTAGAATACTTCTCTCTTCAAACATTTTACATGTGTGTCTTGCGCATTCTGCTTGGAATTTTTCTCTTGGCATACTTCACTTTACAAATTTTCTACATATTTATTAATTTGTGCGCAATATTGCGTGGCATTTTACTCTATACTTGGACAAGTCCAAGTTACCAATACTAACAAGTTACTAAGTGGTTTGCGCTTGGAACCTTTGGAATTAATTTTTTAAGTTGATATATTGAGCGCTTGCAAGTAATCTTGGGTACATCATGATTTGTTGTCGACACCAATATTCATAGATTTTTTATGGTGACCAACGTACAGGTTTCCGAATAAAAACTAATGAATTGTCCACCATTTGGTACTTACTTTCATATGATGATTTAAAATCCTCCAATAATAGGTTTGCTCATCAAAATTCTGCATTTTCACTTTACTTTCCATTATTTATACACGAGCCGTATTAGTGGTTCGGGTTAATGAAGAAGAATAATCAGTTGTCGATGTTTGGTTTAACGAAACTAAATGATTGTTTTGTCGTGCAGAGCGACTGGAAGAGCTGCTCGAAGAGAACAGAGTGCTGCGGTCGCAGCTCCTGCATCTCGGAGGGTCGCTCAACTCGTCCAGGCTCTCGGACCAGGAGAAAGAAGCTCTCCTCAAGGTATGGCTAGTTCACTTGTTAATAAGTACTTGGATAAGTTACTTCTTTGGGGCAGTTGACTTTTTTTTGGCAGGTATGTAGTCTCAAGAGGTGTCTCTTTAAGTTCGTTGTATGCCTCAATCTCGCTTACATATGTGAGAGGCTAGATGTTTTTGTGGCTTGTTGAATTAATTATCTTGTGAAAAATTATGTTACACTGGTCTGGTCAACTCTCAACTTGCAGAACGGTAAACACTTTGACTGTTAAGATCACATTATTCCTCAATGGAGTGCTACATAGCAGGTTATATTCTGTTTATTTCGTACTAATTTTATTTACAACATTACGTATATTTTCAGGCAAAAATTCATAATAGACAATCCACATTGCAGGGTGGCAGCTGGGGAGAACGCAGCACCACAGGCGCCACCATCGGCGACTGGGACAACAAATCTTCTTCGAGTGAAGTTTCGGTCGCGTGTCTGCAGGATCGGATTATGCAGATGGAAGAAACGCATTACTGGTCAGGATCAGAAGAAATTAATGTTCTAGGCGAGAAGTCATTTGATATTCCCGTGAGCCATCTTACCACTTGTGGTGAGAAGGCTTACTTATTCACGATCAGTTGAGCATTTGGAAGTACAGACGTATTGCTGTGTAATGCAGACAATGCATGAGCATTATTTTTTTTTCTTGGCGGTTATTAATAAATTTTATATATGGTACGTATTGCAGATTGACTTGATCAAAGTCAAATGTGTGTATTGATCAAACAAGGTAATGGTATTAAGCAATGCTGAATTTATTCGTGTATTTGCAGCACGAACGAGGAGCTACAAGCGACGTTGCAGGAGCTCGATGACCTGCGAGAACAGCTCGCTGAAAGCCAGGCTGAGCTGGAGAACATGCAAGAGGAAAAGCAGGTGATTTGGAATGCACTTTATGGAAATTTATTTCTTTCACTACTAGAAAATTCTAACTATATCTAAAATCACTGACAATTTTGAGCCCTAGTATCGTTCTATTTTTTAATTGAAACACTTGCCTCCATCTTTGTTATCGATTGATTGGCATTTGCTTTCTGGGCTGCCATCTGCTGCTGCTCTGTACACTAAAGAATACACCACCGAGCGTTAGGCGTTAATTTCACATTTACAATCGCTGTTAAATGTTTCATTATGTTCCTCTCCGTTTTTCTTGCTTCATTTTTCATGTAATTCCTTGTTCCAGGTGTTGCTTGCGTCGCTAACCCAGCAAACCAACTTCCTAACCGAATCTCGAGGACAAAACCAAACTCTGAAGCAACTTCTGATCCAGCAATCCGAAAACTCACAAACTATCTCAAGCTGCGTCAACTCGCAGAAGCTTTTGGAGCTACTCAAGGTATCTTGACGTTTCTTACACAATTCTTCTCGCCTTTACAGTGATTCATTGCTGTAGTGAATTAATTAAATATATTAAGTTATTAGGTAAAGTGAATTATTGTATGGAAGTACTTGGTTTCCTACTTGGGTTGACCGTTCTCTTTATAATACATTGCTATCTACATGGGGACGTAATCAATGGCTAAATCCTAAGTTGGGAGTTTAGTACAAAAATTGTGTGTTGCTTTATAGGACATTTAAATGTTTGTTGTAGTTCAATTAGCCTTTCCTCCAAAATTCAACTGTACAGTTGTTTTGAATAACGTTATATCTCTCGATCATCAACTACCATCATAGTATGTCAGCTGTCAACTATCGTTGCAAGGAAAAACCATGTATCTATTCAACTCGTGAGTTCTTTTCACGTATAAATGATGTTATTTTCAATATCCTTTTCTGAGCATATCTCGGCATTTTGTGAGCACTCTTGTAAGGCAAAGCAAAATTTATTAAGCAATCTAATTTTAATGATCTTATTTTGTAAGAATTGTCTTCGGTTAAATATATTGAGCCGTGTAATTTGATAGTGTTATTGTTTTATTCAGAGTGTTGAAGAAGACCACGAGCGGCTAGAGATGAAGCAGGAGGACGTTGAAGCGCAGCTGGCTGCTGCCAAAGTCGCGGAGCATCGCTTCCTTCAAGACTCTCAGATGTACAGAGACAGGTGGGGTGGACTGGTGTGGTACAGAGACAGGTGGGGGTAGACTGGTGTACTGAGACAGGTGATAGGTTTGGTTTTGTAGTGCAACAGCAGGACGGTACTTCGAAAAAAGTGGTGACTAACCGAAACAGGTGCGATAAGTTAGATGTTGTACCGAAATTAATGCGAGAGTAGGGGTGTTTTACCAAGAGAGGTCGGGAAATGGAGTTGTACTGAGATAGAGGAGCGGTGTGGTACATGAACAGGTGGCAAGAGGAATTACTAGGTTTGTATCCTGACTAGTGGGAGGAAGAGACCGGTGCAGTACCCAAACAGGTCTAAAGTACTGGTATGGTACCAAGAGAGCTGGAAGGATATTTGCTACAATCGATTGCGCATTAAGGATGTCATCGTGTAACTCAAGAACGTTTTTGGGAGACGCGCTTTTGCTTTTCACACTTGCATGGAAACGGTCCAGTTTAAAGGAGCTGCCTCGCTGATCGGAAGTTGTGCATCAAAAGTCACTTGATGGAAAAAAGTTTCTTTTTTAGGTGCAAATCAACTTAACTAATTAACTTCAGGTGCAAATTAACGATATTGTGTCCTGTTTTTACTAAAATTTCAACTAATTTCAACTAGTCATTAATATTTATCAAACAACACTTGAGGTATTTGAAGTGATTCGTTCATCCCTATCACTTACATGTCTTTCAACAAGAACTCATTTCTATTTTTTGGCATGTATCATGTAGATGGTTTTGTAATGAACCCGCCTTAGTAAAATATTTGATTAACATCTTGAATATTTGAATAAGATGATCCACATAATTTATGTGCCGAACTACCAGCTAAATCTAAGTTTGTTCGCAACTTCTCATTCACTGTACATTTCCTCCTTGTGGCATTTGATTGCTCATTCTAGTTCGGTGTAGAAATGAAACAAGTGTTAAATTTAAATTGTTGACTTTTGTTGGTCACTTCCTGAGGTTTGAATTGGCTTACAGGATGAAGTCGTTGGAAGGTTTACTGGAATGTAGCAGTGCAGCAAAGGCGGCGGCTGAGGCGCAGACGGCAGAACTTCAGGAAGCTCTTAAAGCCGAAAAAGTGGAAACTTGCAGACTTCAAGAAGCCCTCACCACTGCCAAGGAACATGTCAGTTCCTCATCCGTATTTAAATATGAAAGTAAAACTATTATTGTCTTGGAAATACGCACCCATTTGAAAGAATAGGTCCCAATTAACTGTGTAATTTGTAAAAGATTAACCGATTACCTCATTCCGGTGCCAAATATATACACATCGCGTCAAGAGTGCCAGGTTCACTTGCATTTTTAGAAGCCGCTGGTCGTCGGTAGGGTTGGGCCTCTTCTATGGGTTCGGTGAATAGCATTCATTTTCATTGAACTCAGAATGCAATAGTCTTCATCAAACTTAACTCCGATCTTCTTCATATCGTCATCTGTAAATCTATTTCTTTTTTCTCGTTGTCTATCTCATCTTCATGATGTCAGCTCCGTACAGTCGACTGGACATATTCAATGACCATCAACTTTATCATTTCAACTCCATACAATCGACTGGACATAATAAATGATATTATTTTGTTTATATCATTCATCATTTCAATGATCTTATTCATCATTTCAATGATCTTGTTCATCATTTCAATGATCTTGTCCATCAATTCAATGATCTTGTCCATCATTTCAATGATCTTATTCATCATTTCAGATCGCTGAGCTGGAGGCTCGACTGGTAGGCGGTGGGTCAGTGAGTGAAGTCCTCGAGGCGGTCCGCGCTGAGAACTCGAAACTGGAGCAACGCGTGGCGGAGCTGACACAGCAACTCCACGCTGCCACGCGCGATGCAGAGAAAACCAAGGAAATCGTCAATAACTTGCAAGATAAACTGAAGGTGCTTTGTTCACATTTGAATTAGTTCCCCGTTTCCTCCATCTAATTTAGCTTGCTTACTGAACTTGAAATAATTGTTATTATTTTTATCAAGTTGAGATGGCATTAAGGTAATGTTGCTATCGTTTACCTCTTTAAATCGTTTTAAGTAGACTATTTATTTTATCTACGACATTCCATTGAATTCAAAATGAAGTTTTGTTTGTCATTTAATCGCATCTATATGTTGTGAAGAATGCAAATTAGTGAAAAAATTTGTTCCTTTTAAGTATTTTTCAGTTATTTCAATAATTAAACATACACGAAGTGAATATTACGGAGAGATTCTGCTCACTTTCATGTATGATTAAATTCATGATAATGTTTTGTGTCGTTATTAAAGCGCATAGGACGTGATTATGATAGAAAAATTGTGCACGTTGCAGCAGGCGGAAGAGAGCGCACGCGACGGCCTACACGATGCTAGTGCTCGCAGCGAGCGACTGGAGGAGAAGCGACGGTCTCTCCTGCAGCAGGTGGCGAACGCTGAGAAATCACTTGCAGAGGCCAAGCAAACGGCACAGCGCCACCTGCAGCACAAACGCGAACTAAAAACAGCGCTGTCCGAGTCTCAAAAATTGTTGACTCAGGCACAGGAGGAAAAACGACATTGCGAGCAGCTCAACTTGCAGCAAAAACAACAATTTGAGAAACAGGTGAGGCAAAGTTTGGCTTTATCATCTCGCAAGCCCTTAGTGTTGCTAACTTTTTACCAGCTATGCGGAGCGATAATGGGGAAAGTCATCATTTCGAATCTTTTATAATAGTTTTTGTTTCTCCATAATTATATATTTCAAGCAGGTTTCATTGAAGACCAGAGAATTTGTTTTATTCGCAATGTTCTTATTAGTTTTTTCAATTTCAATTCAATAATTATATATTTGGCTATTTATTGACTTTCGATCATTTATGCTCTTTGTTCACTAATGTTTTATCATTTATTTTGCTTTAAGGTTGAGGAGTGGGAACAGTTCCAGTGTGATCTGCTCACCACAGTCCGCGTGGCGAACGACTTCAAAACGGAAGTCCAGGCCCACCTCGAGAAGGTCCAACACGAGAACGCTCTATTAAAGCATCATCGCGTGGCGAACGACTTCAAAACGGAAGTCCAGGCCCACCTCGAGAAGGTTCAACACGAGAACGCTCTATTAAAGCATCAGCTCTCCACATTAGAGAAGAAAGCTGCCAGTGCGTTTTTTTACCTGTTAAACTTTAACTTACTTTAACACTGTCGATATACTCCTTTCAAATAATTATCACTTGACTGCATCAGAAGGCAAAGTTTCAGTGATTTGTCCATCTTTTAAGGAACGGAGTTCACAAAAAACATTCAGTCTCCATGTTAGTAGCTCTTCCTTCTTTTTAAACGTATTTGCCCAAGGCGTGTTTGGTCATTTTTTCATTGTGTAAAAATTATGTGGTTATATATAATCTGTTAGATATTTCAGGATACAACCTTCATTGAATTTACTCTGTTTCGTTTGAAAGGAAATCCTTTTCTTTCTTTCGCTGGTTCAATTTCCTTAATTCTGTTGGCATCAAAAATTGTTCAGCCGTTAGTTGAGAAAAATTTTTTAATTGCTTTTTGTCGCGCAAAGTCAGCCGTGTGAGGTGAGAAGTTGTCTTTTTCAATTGTGAATTAATTGCTATGTGTAATGCATAGTCAGCCGTGTGAGAAGTGTCTTTTTCTCAATTGTAAATTAATTGCTATGTGTAATCGCAGACTGCCGTGTTTGCTCCGGGGCGACCAAGTACATGAGCAGTCCAAGTGGTGGCGGTGACCGACGCAACGCAGATCGTGCTTTGACGCGCACTGACTCGAAAGTCAAGTCATTAATCGGTCAGTTGTAAAACTCGAGACTTACATTTGCGAACCAATTTTTCGCTGTAGCTGTTGTGCATATTCGCTGTAGCGAACTGTCAAATTTTTTCCAGCACCCAAAGACAAGTTAGTTCGGAAAATGGTTTCTCTGTGTTTTGTTCTTATCAGACAAAATTTATGCATCATAAGTAGATAGGAGAGCAAATCCTTTTAATTTGATATTTTTATGCAATGACTTCTGTACAATAACGAAATTTGTGCATTCATTCAAACGAGAAAAGGACGCTGTGGAGCAAATTACTTGATCTGTATAGTGCATGGTAACTTATTCTATTTTCTCATTTTTTAGAGAGTTTGGAAAACGGAGTTCCTATCACCAGAGGAAGCGGGCGCATCAGCAGCAACAATGGATTAGACAATAATATCGCTATTGGAATGAGCTGTGTTTCCAGTGGAAGGAAAAGTGCGGTAACTTCGGCTCCCATATTAAAGCGGGCCGATACGGATGTGAGTATTTGGGCTATAGCTGTAGAATAGGGTATTGTTAAGTGGAAAATCTTTGTAACAGTTACGTTCATTTAATGCAGCAGAGTGTGGAGTAACCTCGTATAAAGTTACTATGCAATGGGAATTGTGCTATATTTTGATTTTGAGTTTGCGGACGCTATTAGCAGGATATCCAGAACCTGTAACTGCAATAAACATTAAGGCGTGTAATTGGTTCTTTTTTTTTAACTAGGCGGTAATATTTCTGTTTGCCCATATAGAGTAGTCATTAAACCTATATTGAAGAGATCACATACCAGCTGATCTCTTTCTCACACTAATACTGATGTGGAATAAATATTGGAGGGTTATTAATACCTTGCTTTCATATTGCAGGTTTCCTCCTCTCTTGATGTATCACGTTATTTTTATTAACATCATCGTCTTGCATGGCAGGGTGTTATACGTCCCTCGCCGACTGCTTCACCCCTCAAAGAGTCCGGCAACATAGACGCCGCTAGTCCCGTTTCTCCGCTGCGATCGCTGCAGCGTAACTCGTTCAGTGACGGCCTTAGCTCCATCTCTTCTCCTACGCCTTCGTCTAAAGTCAACGTCCCACCGCCCTCCTCTCCCACCGCCAATCTTCCCGACACTGTCAAAATGTCACAGCTCGGGGAAAAAGCCGGCGCTAAACTCATTTCCGAAGCGAATAAACCTATATCCATACTCTCAAATAAGATCGAGCCGCGAAAAAACAATTTTAATCAGGTACGAGCATCAACGTCTCGCTTTTATCCACCGTTGAGATGAGTTTTTCTTTACCGAGTAAACTCTAACATAAAGAGTATGATCTCTTTTTTTTATCTTAATAAGTTTGGTTTGCAAACTGATTTTTATTTCTAAAGAACAGCCAAAATTCTATTATTTTACTGTGAGGGTTAGTTGAAATAATATTGAAATCTCTTTTAGTTAAACCGCCGTGAAACCGTTAGTTGAAGCAATTAATTGAAATCTCTTTTCAGATTTAAATTAATTGTTTAGTATTAATGAAATGAGAATGTATATAAGATTAAAACTTCGGAAAAAGTAAAAATATTTAGATTTTATGTCCTCTTGAAGAACTCGGCGCCTCAGTTGTCTACTCAACTATCAGTTCGATGACCAAATTTTAACCATTACGGGTAAAATACATTCATAATACAGCTATAAGAATGTATGACATTTTCTTCTCATGCGTATATTTAATATTTTAAACTCAAGGTTGCTTGATTGATTACCGATTTTTGTTTTCAGCTGAGCGCAGATAAGAAGGATCCCTTGTCAATGCTGGCGCAGGGAGGTGGGTCCAGACGCAACGCTTTACTCAAGTGGTGTCAAAATCAGACTCTCGGCTACTCCCAGGTCGACATAACGAATTTTTCATCTAGCTGGAACGACGGCCTTGCACTCTGTGCGATACTCGATACTTACGTTCCTGAAAAAATCAATTATAGGTCTTTGAATCATTCGGACAAGCGAGCTAATTTCGAGAAGGCTTTGGCGGCTGCTGAGTCCGTTGGCATTCCATCGACCTTGGTGAGTATTTGTTCTTTGATTGTTTTCTACTGAGGAATTTTCTATGAACCCTCTACATGAATATCCAATACTCGAACATTGAGTAATCTATATTTGGCTACCATGAGCTTGATCACCGCGTCGATCTTTACTGAATGTATTGGTTGGGCCACTTGTAATATTGTTTAACCTCTGGCGTTGTTTTTGCAGGATGTAAACGACATGATGAACTCGGAGAGACCGAATTGGCAGACTGTATACAATTACGTTACTTCCATCTACGCCCATTTCGAGACGTAAGACGTCAGCACGCTACGTCATCTCGATGTGGGCACGCGTGATGAGGTCGAAGGAGCCGAACTTCGGACTATACAATTACGTCACTCCTCCACGTGTATTAGGAGACGTAAGCGTCTCGACGTAATCCATTTCAAGAATTATTTAGGTGGAAATTTATTCCATCGCTAATTTGAGATTACATTGATCTGACGAGTGTTGTCGTGTTCATTTTATTTTGTGATCTAGTAATGATAATGTGCCACTTTATTTGGTGTTATTGGTGGTTTTAATGCTGGATAGCTTTTTATTCAAAGACAACGCCGTGCCAGTTTTGACACGTGTAATTGCAAGTGATAGATCGTGCGTTTATCGTCTTCTCCGCGCGTGATTGAAGTTAGGATCGGTGAACCACTACTGGAGTATAATCGGTCTAGGCTCTACCAGGAATTACATCCAAATGCTGTCATTTTTCACGGTTTTCTTTTTATCATGGCGCCAGTCTCTACAACATTGAACAGCTTTCTGATCTGCTTGTAGTAGGTAATTAGTGGACATATCTCTCTAGTCGTAGTTTAGTCGGCAAAAGACAGTATTTTTCTACCTACTTTCCATTGTTCGGAAATATTTTTCTACGGCGAGAATAAATACAAGTAAATTTTCTTGGTATTTTTTCGTATAGACTCGTTATTCATTCGCTCGCTCTAGTCATACATGAATAGCTTAAGATCCGCCTCATCATCACATTCTCTGTGCTGCTCATGACACTGTCGTTAGCAGGCAGATGACATGCGCTGCAAATATACTTCATTCTACCTTGTAAATTTCAATTAAGTGACGGAAATAAGGTATCGAATATATACTGAGATCTCATGTTCATGTTGTCAATGGCTTTGCTTTGGGGTCCAGTGATTCACACTCTTGTTTGATTTATTTAAAAGAAGCCCTTATTAAACAATTTCTTTGAAGGAAACTAATTTATGCGTGTTCACACGAAGTGTTGATACTTTACAGATATCTGCTACGCAAATAATTCTCGGTTCATATAGCCTATGTGTACAAATTAATTTTAGTGGAATGCATCATTGTTATAAAGTCGTTTTATGGTCGTAAAGGAAGATATTTCATAAATTGCACGACTATGAACTGGAGATTGCGGTGCTCTACATGCAACTGTCTCCGAATAGACCCAATTATCATTTTTCCTTGTACAGTATTATATTTCTTCTATATTCGTACATGTTGTTTACAAACTACCCTTTAATAAGAACACGAGAAGCTCAAAAGTTACTACACCATCATTTTTTCCATCTTCAATGCCAATAGTTCAAAGCTGAAATTCTCTTTACGATTGATCAGTAGGCTTGCAAGTTTCTACCATGGCCGAAGTGGAAGGTGATTCGAACGTTTGTCATTATTAGTTATCGAAGAATATTACATTCTAATTCGGCTCGTAAGGGGAAAATAAGACGTGGAATATCTTTTGAATACATTAGGTCTTTGCTACTTAGGTGCTCCAGTGACTTTCACAATGTTCTTTTATATCGTCGATGATTAAAACTAAAAATTAAATGCCTTCAGACTCAATTGAATTCTAGTTCATCCAAATGTTGGTACATTAGATAAGACTGTTCGACTGCACGCTGAATGGCGCTCGCTGTGAATTGACTGTGGCTTGTCATTGCTCATAGAGGTCACGCTATCGCATCGTGAAGTATTACAACGATACTCATAATTAATCTTTATATAAAATTTCAATTCTATACAACCCAACTACAAGCCTCTAATAATACTAGTCAAAATACATAACATTTAGCGATAATATGATACCGTTACAAAAAATATTCATATAAATCATAATAATTACAGTTTGTACAATAACGTTGATAACTGTCTATTCGATGTAGTAAGCACATCGCGACGATTCTATTATTATATTATTATACGGCACATTTACATAAGGGTACTTTGGCAATATAGGATGAAAACATTCTCCCAAAAAACTACTTAACGAGCTGGCTTTTTCTAAAAAAAAAAGTTCCCATACCTCCTCTAAGTTATTTCAACCGCAGGGTTATCGAATGCAAGATGTGGAGTAGCATCCCCAGTTTCTCTTTCCCTCGATGAAAGCGGATGCATGGATGTGGTGTGCACTGGATCATTTGCGTTGTTCAAGTCTCCTCTTGGAGGTCGGTAGAACCACCAAGCGATGAGGAACATGAGTGTAGATATCGACTTGGCAGTGAAAGCGATGCTCAGCATGTACCTGAGCCGCAAATGGAGAGTGATGAGGAAATTGAACCCTCACAGCGGCCGGTTACCAAAAGCTGCGTTAGGCAAAATCCATGATGCCACAAATGCTAAATATTGCCTTGGAAGCATTGATCAGATAAATTTCACAGAGAATACGATGCCATTCTGGGTTTGAAAGAGCCAAATGCCGCTGATAGCCGAGTAATTTATTTCACTTTAATCCTATCTTCGCTTTTAGCGACAGTCGAAAGTTTTAATTTCGTCTGTAGTATATCCCAAGAGTTATAAAAGCGGAAAAATAATTCTAGTACAACTAAAAAGTATTGAAACTACGTGACAACATCCTTAACAGTAAGCACTAGATGGTCAAACTGAATCTACATGAATAAAGCAATAGAGAAGTTCTTACAAAGTTTCGAAGTATCAAAACTAATTTGGCTTAAGAAAACATGCANTTAAAAAATATAACTCAGTACTCACTGCAGTGAGTGACAGAGCGCATTTTCTCGTCGACGAAAACTTGAGGTCACGGACAGACGGACACTTGAGGTCACGGACAGACGGACATGGCGAGCACAATAGTGCATTTTTTCCATAAATGAGAAAATGCGCTAAAAAGAATGGCAGTTTTTTGTCTCATAAATTTGACGAGTGAAACTGACTCAATGTTGATAAATGAATCACTTAGGCATCCGCGAACACCCGAATCAGAAATTAACTAGTATCAACAAGGTGAATAAATAAAAAAATATATAACTCAGTACTCACTGCAGAGTGCGCATTTTCTCATCGACGAAAACGTGGTCACGGACAGACGGACATGGCGAGCACAATAGTGCATTTTTTCCATAAATGAGAAAATGCGCTGAAAAGGATGAAAGGGAAATTCAACAACGAAAGTGGACGTACCGGCTCATGTAGAAATTGTCGTATCTCACGCAGGAGCCCTGAGTGTCTTGTATGAGACAAAGACAAGTGAAAATGACTTTTAGCTCACGTTGAAGCTTCGAGTATGAAGGCATGAATATATTTGTGCACTGTATAAGCTTGGTAAAGCAGTTTTGAGACCACCTGCAAATAAGTCACGAACTCGAACAGTACAAAAAGGCGATGAGAAGACATTACTTGATCTTTAAGGTAATTCACAAGTAAATCGTACTATTTTCAACCATACTCTATTAATGAACGCCTTTCATGTACAATCAAATTTTCTGTGATTTTGAACAAGCGTAAAAGAATTCTATTGGCTGGAAAACACAAACGAGTAATCCAAGTCTAATTTCAATTATAACTAGAGATGAGGAATCGATTTTTTGGGAAGGAATATGGAAAAATGTATTCAGAAATTTCTTAACTATACATGAATGGTAACTAGAAAAGAACGATTTACTCAAAACTTTTTTGTTAGGCAGTGGAAGGCATTGCGTCCCAAAACAAGGAAGGAAGTTACATCCCGGGATTTCTTCAATTCAGTGATTCAGTAAGTTTTTGGAGATGGTAGATGATTAAAGAAGTGCGTTGATCATTCAATTTAGCAATTTGACAACATTAAAAGAGCATCGTGCTCGATGCGGTACGTCAATAATGCGTAACAAGGTGATAATGAATGGGCTGAACTGGGTTATAATTGTTGGCTCCTGTAGTGAATCAACTGAAATACTGTAACTAAGATACAGCAACCCAGTAACTGAGATCCTGCACAAAATAAACAAAATTCCGCAACCAAGTGAAGAAAATTAGCTTTAATCCTGTAACTAATATCCTGTACTCCAGGAACTGAGGATAGGACTAGGACCTCTTTAGACGCGAACTGATGTCGCTGAGAGCAGCCAGCGTGGCAGGGCGAGTAGTAGACGAGGTTGTCGGAGCCACACACGGGGTTGTAGGCGACGCTCTGGCAACCGCAAGCGCTGTTGCATGATGACGTCAGAGTTGGCACGTCGGTAGATACTCTGTTAACGAGAAGTAATTAGTAGTTAATATTCTGGCATGAAGAGCAATTAGTGTACAATATTCTGACATGAAAAGCAATTAGTGTACAATATTCTAATAGGAGAGGTAAGCCTCCAGGCAAATGACGATGAAATAACGTTTATTACGAGCTGATTTCGTTGAAACACCTGCCGTTGAAAAACTGTTATTTCAACGTCAGGTGCCGTGGGAATGAAATGATGAGGGCGTTAGGATGCCATTGGTCAATAATGAGGGGAAGAATAGTAGCGACCTTTCACAAGACTCGTTCAACTCTTATGGCTTACAACTGTTCATAAGGTACTTCAGTCTATAACACTCACTTCAGTCTATAACACTCACTTCGGTAGATAACACTCACTTCAATCCATAACACTCACTACAGTCCATAACACTCACTTCGGTCCATAACACTCACTACAGTCCATAACATTCACTTCGGTCCATAACACTCATTTCAGTCCATAACACTCACTTCAGTCCATAACACTCAATTCAGTCCATAACACTCACTTCAGTCCATAACACTCATTTCAATCCATAACACTCACTTCAGTCCATAACACTCAATTCAGTCCATAACACTCACTTCAGTCCATAACACTCACTTCGGTCCATAACACTCACTTCAGTCCGTAACACTCACTTCAGTCCATAACACTCATTTCAGACCATAACACTCACTCATGCCCAAAACACTCACTTCTGTTCATAACACCCCAGTTTACATCACTCACTTATGCCCGTAACACTCACTTCTGTTCATAACACCCCAGTTTACATCACTCACTCTGCCCATAACACTCACTTCAGTTCATAAAACTTACTTACGTTCAAAACACTCATTTCTACCCATAACACTCACTTCTGTCCATAACACTTACGTTCATAACACTCAAGTTTACATCACTAACTCCTGTTCACAACACTCTGGTTTACATCACTCACTTCTGTTCATAACACTTTCTTATGTTCACTACATTACAGTTTACATCACTCACTTCTGTTCATAACACTTACTTATGTTTATAACACTCCAGTTTACATCACTGACTTCTGTTCATAACACTTACTTATGTTCATAACACTTTCTTCTGTTCTTAACACTCCTCACTTCTGTTCATAATGCACGTCCACTCCAGCAAACTCGTGGTTGGGGCAATAGACGAGCAGCCCCAGGCACGCGAGTAAGCAGAAGAGGGAGCCCGTGAAAAGCACGCGCAGAATTCCAAGGCATGAGAGCTCATATTTTTTGATAAGCCAGCCGCCCAGCAACGTGCCTCCGCCCCCCGCGGGAACAGCAATAAAACCTAAAGTAATAAATCAGTAAATTAGCGTGGTTTCAGAGCAATTAAAAAGAATTTTCACGGAGGCAACCATACAAATTTAACATGAAATAAGTTGCAAGGGAGGTGTGACAGATCACATTGCAGTGGCAGATCAGATGTAAGTATCAGCAACAAAAAGGTCGCAAAATACAAGGTCTCACCGACGTACAGAGCCGAAAAGCTCGCCGCTACGTTAAATTGACTTTCGATGAACTTGGGGATGAAAGTGGCAAAACCTGTGAGCAGGATGCCCTCCATGGCACCTGCTAGGGACAGCGCTACGAACGTCACGTTGGACATGAGGGCGCGCGTGGCAGAAGGGAAGTCGTCTAAATCCTGAAAGGCGGCAACCGCAGTGGAGCTGCCATTGTCGCTTCTCTGTCGCTTGACCGACCCTTTGGGGCTGTTAATTCTGTCCTCATGGTCTGCAAAATAAGGAATTGTAATTAATAACGGTATCTAAACATTGTTTGTCCCAATATTTAATGAGGTGCCAGTCAAGTGACTGATATATAGATTCTCTTCCAAATTTAGTAATATTTTGCCAACGATATTACTTATCGATTTTTTAACCGGTTAGATGTATTTAGATGTATAATTTACCAGGCAATACGGCAGGGAAGCCAAGTAAAGGCCAAGCCACCAGGATGGATGCACAACCAGACAAGAGGAACCCCATCCACCAGCCACCGAGCCACCGGTCGCTCTCCGTCGTCAAACCCAGACTGCGGGGAAGAAATCACGTTTAATGATTTAATTTATTTATCATTAATACCATCATTGTTACTCCCTTGCGCAGGAAAACATATACATCCCAATAACATTCCTTATAAAATTAATTAGAATCGGGTAACTTTTGTACTTTGTTTCAAACGCGTTGACGAGGAAGAATTTTCAAACTCACGATAAGGGGTCGGTGTAGGGAGCGTCAATGTAGATATTTAAGAACTGCCCGCCCATCACGAAGCCGATGGCTGGACCAACGACTGCCATCGCGTAGTAGATGCCTACAAGTAAGCAAATGTTATCAGAAAAAAGGATTACAATGTGAGTAGGATTAATTTTTGGAGTCAAATAATATTCGATGAACTTGAAAATACGTTAATTTAAAAGGAATTTACGAAAGGAAATTAGAAAAATTTTGTAACTGTTATACTACAACGATAAACTCAATAAGGAGATCAGGTGAGCAGAGAATCCAAGAAACTGTTTATGCTTTGAAGGCATACTTGCAGCTTTGACGTATAAGCCTAACTTCATGGAACCACATCAAATTCCACGCTGCGGAATTAATTTTTGGAGTCAAAAATAATTCGAAGCGTAAGAAAGAAAATTTTCAAAGAAAACCCGATGGTAAACTTGACATTTTTTGGAAACAAAAAAGTCACTCGAATCACGATCATACAAATATATTCAAGTGAACACTAATTTTCGAAAGTTAATGAGTGACGCTAAAAATGCACAAGATGATAATAAATAAAAATAACTTTTTTCTCGAAATCTAGACCAGTAGTATTCAAAGAAGCGAAGATACAACCCAGCAATAGATTTGGGTTCAAAACCTCAGCCAAAACCCTTATTAGGGTTCAAGGAATGCACATGATAATTATATTATAACGATTCTCTCTTGATCTTCGGAGATAAAGTGCGCGATATCATTGTACTAAAAGGAGACGGAGTTGCTGCAGAAACTCATCCAAGTAAAGGTACAATATTCCGTATGAAAAAAGTGGTGGAGTAGCTGGTGAAACTCACCCAAGTAAAGCGACGATATCCTGTATAAAAAAAAGGTGGAGTTGCTGGAGAAACTCACCCAAGTAAAGTGACGATATCCTGTACAAAAAAGAGGTTGAGTTGGTCTTGCAACTTAGCCAAATGAAGCGAAGACATCCTATATCCCCAATATTTAAAAGATGTAGTCCTGCCTGAAACTCACCCAAGTAAAGCGACGACATCCTGACGGGCACGGATTCGTCGAGGTAAGTGACCCCCAGCGTGTAGAGGGGCGTGGCACCGATGCCATGCAGGACCTGCCCTAGCATGAAGACCTGCCTGAAGTTGGCCAGCCAAACATCCCTGCTGACGTCACACGTCTCGCCGATGATGGCCTGCAGACCGAAATTTTGGCTGCGTTAAACCATAGGAGTAAGAGGAGCAAGGGAATGCAAATAGTTACTAAGCAAAGGTGTAGGAGGTGAGATTCATTTGGGCTCGGGAATAAGAGGAATGATTCAAGTGAAGTCCGGAAAAAGGAGCTCCGGAATAAGATAGGGATGTGTTTCAAGTGAGCAAGAAAATTTAGTGAGCAAATGATTGATAGATGTGATAAAAGTAGCAAAAAAAGTAAACTTGGCAGTAGTGAAAAGTAAATGAGGTTTAAAGTAATCAAAAAGATAAAAGTGGTGACTTACTTCAAAGTTTTATCGAAATAAGTAGATTCTGCGCATTAATAAAGTATCACGATACCGGAAACCATTCGTAGGAAAAGCTAAGTAAATAATAAATCGTGCAACGAACACTTTTCCAATATTCCTCAAAGAAAAAACTGTCTTAACAAATGTTCCACTGCATGTCATTCTAAAAAATTTGAGAACATTCAGTTAAAAATAAAGGACACCAACGCAAATTAGGTGACCAAATTGTAACATTTAAAACTTCAATTATTTCATAGCTGCGGCATAAGAACAGAAAACATCAGGCTATGTTTCAGTGTAATAAAAAAGAAGGCATTCTACAGAAACAATCTGCCAAGGGTCACATCCCGGCGAGTCTCAGGCCAAAAACCAGGCGACGCCAGCAAACCTCCCAGCGCCTGCTGACCGACGAATGAGACAAACGTCCTCGTTACGTGAATGATTCCAAAAATCTGCAGCTATTGCTACCTGGAAAATTACCGTGAAAAGTATATTATTCGATAACTTACATTTTCTAATGTCCTCAGGATTCAAACTCAGTAAACATAGTGGGTAGAGAGGAAGGGGTGAAATATACAAACTTTGATATATGAGATGAAATAAAATCATGCTGACTCTATATTATGCAACGATATGAACAATAGTTTCATGTGCTTGAGAATTTAGCAGGAGCGTCCATTGAGATCATTAAAAACACCAATAGGACAAATTAGTGTTGGAAAAAAAACTGTAAAATAGTGTGAGAGAAATTCAGGTGCACGACAAGGAATAATGCCAAGCAATCGTATTGTTTTATTTTCCTTGACACTAAAAAGAACTATGTCAACCTTGCAATAATAAGCTACAGCACACGCATGAAAAATGACCCAATTCATTAGGTTTAAGTATTAGAATCGGAGTGTCGGTTCTCGCATCTTACCTGTAAGGAGCAAGTGATTGTCGACATGTTAGCGCCTATGGAGTTGCCGAGCGTGACGTGATAGGCTGGAGTGAAGAAGTGAGGCACCGCGAACACGAATGACCCTAAGCCCATGATGACCATGCCTGCCGCTAACCATCGCGCCTTCGAAGCTCCTTTCCGAGAGCCCAAGTAAGCCACAGGCACAGAACAAAGTACGGACGCCATGTCGTACGCGCCGGCCACCATGCCTGAGAACAATAAACGAGATTACACTAAAATATTATTAAATGTATTAGTATTATACTTATTTATGTTATTAGGCGCGCCAGCAAAAAAAGAAAAGACGAAGAAGCACATAACGTGGCTTGATCTCACATTTTGCTCCTTACTTTGCGGAGCTCAAGTCGATAAACACAACTATATTAGGTCAAGTTTCCGAAGAACCTAAGAAACCTTTCCAAGAGTCGAGGACATATGTAGAGCTTAGACGTAAAAGCGATATCCTTCGGAAGCACATTAAATTCAATCGTATATTGTGCAATACAGAAAGCTAGTCAGCCATTGACGCAAGAAGTGACGTAAGCAGAAAAACAACTCAATGCTACCGAATGATTCGACATAGACTTTTTGCGAGCTTCAAGAGAGAAACAAAACAGTGTCAAGAAAAAAACGTAAAATAGCAATGTGAAAAAGGTTTCAAACTGCTGTTAAATTGTTGGCATGCAGTGAAAGTTAGCAGGCAAAAAAAACATGTTGCCCAGATCGCCAAGGTATCAGAATATTTATAAAAATTCTTCTAAATAACGACACAACTTCTCAAGCTAGACTGATGGACGTCATGCAGCATAACGGATTCAAAAGTATAAAATCGATGTAGTATTAAGTAATACACCGTTGAGTGCAAAGCCAGACATCATATACGAGCATCATCTACGCAGAATCATGAAAAAATTCTCATTTAGAAAGTTATGCTACATAAAACGATTTAGTATAGTCATAAATCTGTCTAAAATTAACAATAGGCGATAAACCCACACTTTAATGAAAAAATAAATTAAAATGGACTGTGGCAACATTGTCTCTAAGTCGTGTGATAAACCACGAGTAAAGATAAGATTGTAAACGGTCCATCAACATGACATCACTGCAAGCTAGTATAGGAAGTAATGAGTTACCTGCTGAAATAAATGCCTTGAAAATTGAAATATGATCAAAGTTACGTGCTTGGCTGAAAATAAATCTAAAATATAACGGAACGTTCATAGAAATTAAAATATTATCAAGTTCGATCACGGCTGCTAAAGTCAGACGCTTCTCCAACTGGAGTGGCATTACGTACGAGCATGTCTGCTGAAGTGAGAAGCTTCTCAACTCGCGTGGCATACGAGTTTAGCTGCTGAAGTGAGAAGCTTCTCAACTCGCGTAGCATACGAGCATGGCTGTATGGCTGCTGAAATCCGACATATCTCGACTCGTGTAGCTCACAAGGTGCATGGCTGCTGTAGAGCACGACGGGTGCCAAGAATCCTCAAGAGTAACAAGCAGATGCACGGCGCACATGCAGCGCATCTCAGCAACTGCACAAGATTGGCACTTGAGCACAGCTGCTAGCACCGCCGTGCGACGTTCATTCATCGCATGAATGATACGTACAATCATTGCTTAGAAATTTATAGATCTAAGTCTAAATCCCAGGTGGAACAGATTTCATTTTCTCTGACACTACAACATTTTAAAATCCCGTGCTCTCGCTTGAGGCAGTGATTGCATCCACGGACAATGTTTAACTTATACTTATTCAACATTCGTTTTCTTCCATCAAATACTATATGAGGTACAAATAAATGGGGTACAGGCATGGGTGACAACTAAAGTCAAGATATGAAGGGCGTGATTGCGATGCACTCTTCATTTGTACACCTGCAAGATCGTGACAGTGATCGGCGGAACAAAAATTCATGATCCACCTCTCGAACGCGTGCCATTTCAGCTCCCTACCTTCTATTCATGCCGTTTGAGAACTTGAAGAAACCCAATTCATCTAACAAACGCAGTTCAATGAGAAAACTATTCTCATAATAAATAACTGTCCTACACTTTATATGGCAGAAGGTATACTCAAAGCTATTAATAAAGCGAAAATAAAATTGTTCTGTAATGTTCTGTTCTGTAATTAGATTTGATGACGAAAGAGCCGTGTAAAAAGTTAACGTAATAGTGAAAAATATTCTATGAATTTCTCACCTGTGTCACGAGACCGAAGATCATATCGCTTTTCTATGGTGGTGATACACACGTTTACGAAACCATTTACGACCATGCCTGGAAGATATCAAATGTTGTCGATTATAACAATTAATTCATACAATTGGAAGGAACGAAATATATATTTCATGTTAACAAAAATACATACAGAGGGTATGAATATCAATATCAAAATTAATTTCAGCATTGAATTTCTATACTTTTTTAAAAAGCATTTTATAAATTCTGTTGGCCTTGGGCATACGTGTCATGCATAATGTATCTACAGGGTGATTCACGGAAACTTCCTGTTTGTATTTCGCGCCAAGCAGCCAGATGTTGTAGGAAAGGGCAGGGAGTATTTCATATGAAAGGCTATGTCATGAAGTTGTGTCCCGCCTAGTCAATTGTCACTTTGCATTGGACAAGTGAGCAGCGTGCGTTTGCTGTCTAGGCGTACTTTTCTAATGGCCGTTTCAGTATCGCTACGTACTCTACTAGCATTCCGTACTCGGTTCCATATGCGTCCTTCGCAGGTCGGGTTCCTGATCGGAAATCGATTGCTACGTGATGAGTGAGTGGAAGTGCGAATGCGAGTGGGTGGAAGAGTGAATCACACTTCCATGCAATGCAAGAGGGTCTGGCGGTCAGCGGACAACCACAACACCCGAAAACGTAGAGAGAGTTCGAGAGGCGTTTCTGCGTTCCCCACACCGTTCAGCACGTAAACACGCTGCAATTCTGGGAATTTCGAAAATCAGTGAGGTACAAATACTCACAAATAACTGCAATTTCATCCCTACAAATTGTTTGTGGCACAAAAACTCAGCGTAAACGATTTTATTGCTCGCCGAAATGCGTGTGAAGCGTTTCCTGAGAACTCGCCTCACGATGCAGTCGTTATCTTTAGTGATGAGGATTTCCGGGAGAAAAAAAAACAGCAAAACGTGCGTGGAGTGGGGTAAAAGATTAACGCAAATCAAATTACTCTTAAATCAATTGTTTACAATGACTGTCCAAGGACCCTACTTCATTTGAAGAACAACATACGCCAAGCCATCGCCAACATACCCGTCAATATGTTTCAGCGAGTTGAATGGAACTTCAAAAATCGATTAACTGAATGCATTGACAATGCGGGGCCGTCATTTCTCCGATGTCATTTTTAAAACTAAGTGATACAAAAATTCAGATAATGTCTTTAAAAAAATATTTTGTAGTGATATCTTTACTAGTTCTTTTTTTTTATCGAGCTACAAATCACGAAGTTTCCGTGAATCACCCTGTATAATTGATTTAATAAGCATCTCAAGTTTTGAGTTGGTGCTTACTTTCTATTAAAAGGAAGGGAATTTTTTGTACGTGTGTTTCAATCAGCAATGATACATGGGTACATACCCTGTACTGCAGAGGCCCAGCACAGCCAGAAGAGCAGCCACCGCGACGACCTGCCGTGGTGGAGGCATTTTGGTCTCAGGCAGAACCATCCGCACTCTGAAGTTGGTATCACGGATACGCCACCGTCCTTGAAATCCATACAAAATTAACAATTGCAAACCGTTCGGAAATTCAAAATTACTGTAAACTCTTTCGCGGGCAAACATGACTTTAAATGAATTACGGAAAATTTTCCGAAAGAATCCGAATTTGAGTAGTTAAGCATAATATTTAGAAAATATCGTTAAGATATTTTTCGCCAGCACACATATGCGAACGTTTTTGCACCTATAAAATGCTTCAGAATTTCCGTAATTGAGCAAGCGAGTTTAAGTAAAACTACTTATGCTTTTCAACTCGCTAAATATACGGTCATTTCAACTAACAAACGTATAAAACCGTTAACTGTTTCCGGTGAATTTTATTGAGAAATTTCCAAAAATTGATTGATTAACCCCAGTAATTTATAAGGTTTTCTATAATTCCTAAAAATAGATGCTTAAACCCATATATAGTAGTTCATTATATAGACGCTTCATGATCTATGCTTTACAGGAATTAAGCGCGTGCAGGGAATTTTCACCCCAGGAAATTTTGTCGCTCTACATTCTTAGCTGCCACCCTGCCGGGCCGTCACTGCTGCACAAGTATAAAAAGTCTGCGCAGCCAACCTGCTAGGAAGTTTTTCTACCGACCTGCTGGGAAGTTTTTCTACCGATCTGCTGGGAAGTTTTTCTGCCGACCTGCTGGGAAGTTTTTCTACCGACCTGCTGGGAAGTTTTTCTACCGACCTGCTGGGAATATTCTCTGCTGAGATGCACGCAGGAGCCAGCAATGCTGGGAGGAGCTGTAGAAGGTGTGCTGGCAGCGCTCGACGAGTAGCCCGTCTGCAAGATCATCACAAGAGTCAAGTTTTACCACCACGAAGCTTTCGTCGTCTATATTTAGTGAACATATGTGAAAAATGACGTCTGCATCACGCGATACTACCAATGAAAAAACCTTGACTTTGAAATGTACTAAAAAATGTTTTGATGACTATCATAGTTTTCTATCATGAAGAAAGAAAGATTTGTGATATCAAGTCCGTAGACGGTCGTGGTGAGAACAGGTAAAAACCAGATGGATCAGTTTTTTCAGGATTAACTGAACTTCGAAGTTGATGATTGACAGTTGTGAATAGTCCAATTACAGAAGTCATAAAAAATTGAGCACATGAAAAAATCAGGAAAACTAAAAGTTTGTTCCGAACAAAGTTTGATTCATAATTTATCATTTAAAAAGTCGGGCAAGCAACAAGAACACAATGGCATTACCACGAAGGAACAACGCATCCTTGGCTCAGACAAAGGCGTGAATTTCGCCGGATCAATGGCCGGTCTTTAATGCTAATGTTAATGCTACTTGCCATTTGCATGCACCATAACTCAACAATCATAGAAGTTCAAGCCACACGATATTATGATTTAGTTATAGCTGAGACATCATTCTATGCTTCAATTCATTATCAATATCATTCTATCAAGATATGAAACGGTGATATGGAAACCAAAAGATGTAATTTGATACTGATTTTTTGGCTTACTAGGAAAGATGATAAAAATTGAATACGGATATACTGATTGAGAGCTTCTTCGCGTCTTGAGTAATCGTGAAGAAGATACGATATGCGTAAGAATAGAAGGTTATTCTGAGGAGGCTCAGGTATGATTAACTATATAAAGTTTACCGAAAAGTTCGGTTATCCTCACGCTTCTCACTCTCTTATCTCTTCAGGAAGTCATGTCATGACACAGCAATTGCATCGGACGAGAAATAAACGACCTGACATTACGGATAGCTTTATATATAAAGGTCATCGGGCGGAAGTCGATGCTCTTTTAGCTTTTCAAAGAGACATTAAGGCTTCATCACTCGAAGAGTTCCGATCGTTTCCAATTTCTAATAACTTGACTATGAGATACTTTAGATACTTTGTCACGCGGAAACGTCAGAAGATCGGCGGCGAGCAATTCTATTACGTTTTGAATACTCGTACACATGGTCTGCGAGTAGGACACATGCACTTACAACCAATTTATTTAAAAAAAGAAGACATACTTACAATAAATTTGTTACGCATACGAAACATGCTTCACTAATGAAAAACGATGACCAATTAAACATTATTAACACTGGAGAAACAATCAAGATAAATAGATGGTCCAGCAGCCGCCAACGCAACCCTCAAATATGGCTTGTACGTGTACATTTTTTCATCAAATTACCTTACATCTGCTCACGACACTAATTAAACTAAGATCTTTAGGTATCGCATTTATAAATAAAATTTCAATTCGCTGCAGCCTGTTTTCGTCCTTACTGCATAAATTTCTATGCATTTTTAAGTACAAATTTATTGTGCAACTAAGTACAACCTTAATCATGTGTTGAATACCCGCATAAAACATGGGCTACAGAATACGAGCCAACAATCTTGGGTAAAAGAAATTAAATCGAGCAATATCCTGAAATTAAAGGGGAAAATAATTCCAAGACCTTAATATTGCCCGCAGATTCAAACAAATAATTGTAAGAAGAACTTCAAAAAACAAAAATGAGCGATCATTTGGCTTTGTGTACAGCCGAGTACATTGTACGCCGTCACAGAAAAAGTCGCAAGAATCTTGGGAGCAAACGACAACGAGGTGAACAAGATCTGAGACTTGAGGAGGCAATAGCGTACATTGCCAATAATATGTACCATTCTCAGTCCCAACTACCTCGACCTTGAATAGCTGAATAATCGCGTTACATGCAAGCCTATATGTGAGAATCTGACTGTACAACTACGCAGAAAACACCACATCGGGTGATGTAATATCGCGGCATTTTCACACTCAGTTACTCATTCTGGGCATTGTGTATGAGAGATGATCTATAGGGTGGATGGAATGTAATGATAAAACGATGTCACGAATATTTCGTAATAATAACCTTCAGTGCACATACAATCCATGAATATCTCAACACAGGAAGGAAAAGTAAGCAGCTTTCAGGTTAGAGTAAGAATTAAAAATAAAATTTTTCATAACAAATAATATAAGCGTAACATTAAATACTGCGAAGAATGTGAAGTGAACAACATTAAATTAGAATTCGAATAAATACCGAACAGAAAGCATTTCGTGAATGAGATTCATAGCACAAAGTTAAAAACAACCAAGGTATTAAGATTTCGATTAAAAAACACAAGCGTTCAAATAAAAAAACAAGTAGCACACAAAAAAGCAACAAACCGGCAAAACAGCGAGGCGAGTGAGATCTTGTAGCGGAAGCTGCCAGGCAGGAATGTGAGAATTGCGTCCACGCTTTTGAGTTGGATCAGACGAGGGCACATGACAGGAAGGAAGCAACGGGTTGCGAGCTCGGCTCTCAAGGGAGCGCCGGGAGGAGACAGTTCTAAGCCTTTTAATCTCGCCTTCAGACGCGTTTTCGATGACGTCACTATCTCGGGATGATGCCTTAAGTGGTGACGAATGCGATAAAAAATAATTTGATGATCGAGTATCATGCTCTGAAACATCGCTGTTTCGAATTTTCAACGGTTTTCCATCATGAAGAATAAGATTAGAGACAATTGCAACGTCACCTATCTCTGTCTCGTGACTCGTTAAATCAGACAAACTGCTCTCGTCTTCATTCCTGTTGCTCCCGTTATCAAGCATGCAATAGCTTAGTTCATCAGGTTCACTGTCATGCCTCAACCGGTTGGGTGATCTTTCTATAGGGTACACAGTCTTTTTATTGGAGCGAAAGAATCTGTTGAAGCTCTTAGCAGCACTTCCATTATTTTGCGTTTTCCCCCACAGTCTTTTACCGAGTAGCAGCAGCGGCGTAGATCGCGTATCTTCTGAACTTCCAGGTTCAGTGGAAGACGAAGTGCTTGACGCATCTCCATTCGAGAAACTCTTCACTTTGCATTGTTTCATGGCTGTTTTAATGTATAAAGATGGCACGGGTAGGGAGGCACAAAGTGAGCACCCAGTAAATTTTTACAGCTTTCACAGGCAGTTACGATTTGTCCCTCCAACATATTATGCATGCTATATTTAATTGGGACTGAGGCTTGTCAATTTCCTGTAATACAAAAAATGAGCTATCATTGAACAAATCAAATATATAAATCTGTCAGGCATCGTAAATATATACTGCAATATCATTTGCCACCATCTCAAATTCTTCCTGTCTTTCCTTAGAAGTGCTATCCACTCCTGGATCTTGGTCGACGAATTCTGCGGCTATTTCAGACATTATTTAACAGATTATGAGGCTACCAAATCTAGGAGGCCTGCCAGACTCGAGAGTCTCTTGACACGCACATATGAGTCGACCGATGACCTGGTAAGGAATTCCATAGAATTTCTCTAATTAGCGATACCAAGTATTTTGAAATTGCGAACGTGATTTAAAAAAATTTGTGCTTGTAGATTTAATCACTTGATTGCGAATTTTTAGTTTGCCTAATTGAAATTTCAGGTTTCGTTTACGTTTTCAATATCGATATGGTGAATTTTCTTGGCGTTTTCTTTGCTTTTAAATTCCTTGTAAATTTCAGGTTCGACAATCGACATGTGTTCATTATTTTACCAAAGGCGATGCTAAAATATCTTTATGCCGTCGGCACTTATAAACCAAAGATAAACACTAAGTTTTTTCCTCCTTGCGATTTCAATTTCGACGTATTTTGTAACTTCAAATACGCAGATGAAAGAATAAGCTCAGGAATAAACTGTTAATGAGCACAAAGCACATTTCATTTGCTAATTCTAAAGTACGTAAATATGCACTGGCCAGTGTAAAGAATCACAACTACAGGGACAATCAGAATAACGACAAGAATTAACGATCGAGAGCCACAACAAACTAAACCAAATATAAGTCATCGATTGCACAAACTTAAGCAGACAACACAGAAACTTGTAGAGAAGAAAATTTGTCAGTTTTTCACTAGTGTTGGTAATCATGTACGTAGTACTTTATAGCCTACATAATAATGCTTGAAAATGCCTTTAATTAGAGAATTTTCTTTGTAAAGAGTCCTAAAGAATTGTGAATTTTTACAATATTCAGCGAAAATTCAATGTGAAAAGTTTAAAACATTTCTATGAAAAGAAAGAACTTTGTAATTGAATTAGACAGTCAACATCGATATTTCAGATATGCCATCACATAAAATAAGGTATCGGAAATATTAACACATTTCCCATAGATCCCACATATTATATTATTTTATCCATGAATCTTTCTTTCAGTAATCGCGCCACATGCCATCAAATGCTAGTCTAGAATCGCGTACAGTAAAAAAAAAATCGGCAGATGGAGGATGTCGGTGCAGTTCATGATCATTGTCTGTCATTATCGGATTTCATTATTGGAGTTATGAGGCTCATATTTACTCATAATGGTCGCTTGTCGCAATCAGACACGCAGAACGTGTTAGATGGCGAGGATTATTGACCGTACGCAATTGACCTCTCATGATGTCAGGCGTAGATGTGTTTGATTAAACCACATTAGGTACACGTCAATAAAAACATTATATCTTGAAAATAACAGCATTTAAATAGCTGCAGAAACTATGGATGATTGAATTTATATTTTCATGATAAGTTTTAGAACATAGTAAAGAGATTTGAGCTCAGGTGAAAGAAGATATTAGTATGCAAAAACATTTTGTCGCCAAGAATTGTTGAAATGAGCATCTATAAGCGGACGACTGCTACGGTTTACGAAGCAAGCGTGACAGCTTGCCTCCATGATCACAGTCCAATTGTAAATACCTGCACAAAATGAAGCATAAAATAAAATAAAGTCGAATAGAAGATTGTACTAAAAATATCGTGTTTAACACGGCAATTCACGTCGTCAACGTGCATCAGGTCTTTTTGAATGAACGTATTTTGTCAGACAAGCTTTATCAGAAAGTTGGGAAGTTCTCACAAAACGAACCCAAATTCTTGTTTGCAATAATTATTTGCATGCAACAATGGCGCTTGGTGCGTGGGTTGCCATGCGTTTTTGACATAATTATTTGTAAAGAAAAGATCGAATGTAAAATTAAATTAAATGTTAATTATTATAGCCGATTTATTTACTGTTCAGTCAGGATAGAAATTTTGTACGCGCTCTCAAATTTAAAAAATTAATAAATATAAAGCACTTCAATTCCGCACCAAATTAAACCAACTGTTTGCTTTAAACTTTCAATTCTGAATATTTAAAGCTCTATTCCTTCTCCTGTCATATTATAATATTAAAACTATCAGTCTATGTTTAAACAAATATACTGAACTTCTTCAGAAATCAAGACAGCTTTGGTTGTTGGGAACTAATAACCATGGTGTCCCCATTCAACTTAGACATTTCGAATTAACGCAATGTTTTCAGCAAAGAAAGATAGTACGGCAATCAAGTACAGGTAGCAATAGCACAGCGCGTCTCAGGAGGCTGAAGTTGGCGGATGGCGAGCAGACGAGCAGGTGCGGGAAAAGCCCAGACAAAACTCTTCTTGAGCACAAACTGACGCAATGCCGCTTTAAAATGGTAAAAAAACTCGAAATGTGATACAAACACATGTTGCGGCTCCAATATATTATTTGGGAAGAACTAATTAAAGTACTGCTCCAATACCTTTATTTATTCCTTTATTTATTCCTTTATTTATTTATTTATTATTTATTTATTTATGTACTATATTAGTTAGGAAGAGCCTAAAATTATGAATGTAACCAAAAATTATTGTTAGAAGTTTTTTAATTGTTTAAAGAGAGCAGCGATATGAATAACTGTATACAAAGATCGTCAAAATTAGAAGACTTAACTGACATATTTGATAAAAAACTGAAATCAAGTAAATTTTTCAGCAAGCATTAAATTTTATTGCAGACAAAAATTTAAGAAATTATTATCTAGCTTTCATGATGGAGCTAATTTATATAAAATTTGCAAAAATTCAGCATAAATTGTAGCGAATCGTAATCTCAATCGAAATATAATTTCTCAAACACACTTCAATAGTGTTGGACTGCATGAGGCGATAAGAAAACGGCAAAGCAAACTAAATTACCGTATGCAAAGAATATTATAGCGTCTAAACTCAGTAAACTGCGAACAAAAAATTCATCTGGGAATGTTTATAACGAGCCCCAGAAGGGAATCCACTAGCATCAAACGATGGTTATTTTAGGCTCAAGTATTGCAGCCAGACTTGAAGGATAGATCATTGCAGCACGACCAGGCGGTAGACCACTCACTTTACGCAATTGTTTGGCCCGTGGATTTCTTTCATGGCATGGACCTTGGGCATAGAGAACTTACGCAAGCAAGGAAAGCCTATTACGAAGTTCTAACACGCATTGTACAAATGCGAGAAAAATGTCAAAATTATGAATGAGTTTTTGTCATTTTTTAACATCATGAACGATGACGGTATTAGAAAAAAAACAAATTTGCTTGATGAAGCTTTATGTACCTAACGCGGTTGATGAGCATGATGTTCTACAGAACACATAAAGTAACTATGATATTTAAAAAGGAGTGCAAAATTTACTTGCGTACTCTTTTAATCCCAAATCGAAGGCATTTTCCTTGGTCCCAGCATAGGAGGGCCATGTTTCGAAATTCAAGTCGGCAAGAAGTATAAAGTCTATGCACAAACCATTTCTCGCATATGACATTGTTATATCGAAGTCGGTTTTGAAGGCTGGTTGAGACCGTACTCGTCTCGAATTGATCACTACCAAGAACGTGGAATGAATATTATGAACATAACATTCAACGTAAAGAAACATTTTACTAACAAATTTGGAGACTAATCCATCGAAACTCAGTTCTGCACGCATTTTTAGTTACTATATTCGACAAGGTCGTCATATATATAGTCGAGTTTGAACGTGAAGGACTCAGGACTCGTTACTACTTTCGAGTTTGGGACAGTAGATGAAAAAAGGCGGGCTCGTAATGAAATCTCATTTCAACCATTACTCGTGATGAAATCTCAATGGCGCCATTACAGGTATCAGTAACATTATAAAAACATCTAAAATGAATCTGAGTATTAACACAATTAACACACCAGAAAAACTAATATTTACTCTTGTTCCTTGCAAATAATGAGTCATTAGTCCAAGAAAATTAATACCAGGCATCAGCCTTGCAGATTCTACGAGCTCTCAACAAAAATAAGTCGCAACGGTAGTCAAGGTGAGCAATCAACTCGCTTATTCAGCGACAACGATCGAACACTGAGGGCACTGTCAAGCAGGTCGATGTTAGGGCAAAACCTCTAAGCGCGGCACAAGTTCATCTTCCAAAGGTCGACCTAAACCAATGTTGATCACAACTTAGAACTAATTCTTCAACTTGTGTCAGCTTCAACACAGTCTAAGCAAAATGCATGACATGGCGTTACTCTGGACAGGTAATCACTGCTGTTCGAGAATCCCGTTACCTCAAATCATGTAAATAGTTTTAAAATTAAAGTAATATTGGCGAGGGAAAGACCCGATTAAACCCACATTAATTTAATACAGAATTTCGAATCAACTCTCGTTTTGAAGCTTGAAGGAAAGTTATTTTTTCACTTTTGTACAAAATAAAATTTGAGTCATTTGAAATGTCCCTAAATCAATTCCTAAATTTATTACATTCCCCCTCAAACCTTTTGTAATGCCTCATGATTTTTCCAGTGAAAATTTACGAAATAGGTAATCTCACGCCAGACGATAGATATTGTGGATAGGCTCTCCCAATCCAGCACGCCCCTGATACATTTCCGGCGTCAGGCTTCAAATAAACACACAAACAAACTACCAAAAATCTAAAATCAATCTACCAAGATCTAACGGAAAAACTATCCAAATATGAAATTTTGGATTGTAACAGTTACTAAGACCTATATACATGTACCTCGCAAATTGCAGAACACAATTTGTGCATCGATACTAATTATATTTCGAAATTGTTTCCAGATCGAAATGATGCCATTTTTTTAGGAAAACCAATTTTCTTTCTTACCTTAAATTTCCGACTATTTAACATTAGAGAAATTAAGAGATTCGACGTGCTGTTGAAAACACCCT